AGTTAAGTAATTTTTTAAGTTACTCTATGGGTCCTGAGGACAGCAATCACAAGGCCTACCTTACACCTAGTGTGCCTCTGGTTTTGTAGGCTCTTTGTTGATAACATCCTTCACAAAACAATCCACAGTGGCCAGGACAGACTTCAATTCTAAGGCATCATTCAGAAAGACTTGTTTCTTTTTCCTGATGACAGGGGAAATTGAGGATTAGCCTCAGAAGACACAAGTTAAACATTGTGAATACCTACCTGCCTCAATCTCATTTTTCAGTTTAAGTGTAACCTTGTATTTGTTTATACATTTTATGTGAACACAAGTCTTTTCAATTTTAAACTTATTTTTCTCTTCTCACTTCTAGACAGACGAAGGCAAGACAGATTTACAACTTGAGAAAGACTTACATAGAAAACCACCTTCTAATTTTTTTAGGTGACAAATAATTTTATTTATTAATTTTGTTACAGTTCTTTTACTTGAATTATTTTGTCTCTTAAACTCTCTACCATAAACTGTGTTCAGCTTTTATTTTGTCCAAGACTTGCCATTATTTCAACTCACTTTAATCTGGGTTATTACAACTAACACCAGCAAATAGATTGCAGAACACGATGATATTTCCAGGTCACTGGATGTTTTCTCTTTCAGTGAAATCACTGACATTGGGGTTAAGTGCTTCAGAAGGATGAGAACATGGGGGATTGCACCAACTGCAATGTTGCCAAAGTAACTGGGGACACTTTGCTTGCTAGAAATCTGTAACTCTCCTGCCATGGGACATACTCGAAGCACCTTTGGTGGAAAACATTTAGCAAATTCTAGCAAAATTCCAGGCACTGTTGCAATAAAACACGGCTGTCACAGGGGAGCAGAGGCCAGTAGCAGAGGCAAATAAAGAGGTCAAATCAGAACCTGCATTTGTAGTATTTTTAAGGAAGAATTATGGCCTGTTGTAAAATGAACAAATGTCTCAGGAAGTTTGTATAAGCCACTGATATCGCACAGGTTAAACTAGTTGGGGTTTTTTTCTGCACAATTGCCCAGCAGAGCTAACAAAGCTGAAACTGCCGTTCTGAGACTCACAGGAGGAAATAAAACTCCTGTCTGTTAAGAGGATATGGCAATATATGGAAGATACAAAAGGTTGTTAAATAAAGGTCTGTCCCACTGCATGCACCTTTGTAGTGATGTATTTTTAAATCCATTTAAATTACCAGTGCTGAATTTTCCTAATCCAATCAAGAAGGTCTCTGGTACAGTAAAGAAATACACTTTAAACATTTGTCACTCTAAAGATTTTCTTTCCTTAGTGAATGTTTTAAAAAAAAAAAAGGTGAGTGGAATTGTGGCTCACAAGAGAAGGGGGAAAACCATGAATACAAGTCCACAGAAGCTTTTATGTGCCACTACAAGGGCTGCAGCCTCTGCCTCATGAACTGTGGAAGCAATCAAGCTGGTGAAAAAGTGAATCTTGCTGCCAAATATAAATGGGGGAAGTAAAATCCTGCACATGCTAAGGTTTTTATGCTATTGCTACGGACTTTACCTTGCTGGGTACACAGCTGCTGGATACAGGCTCTGATGTGAGACCATGTGAGGGGAGTTTCAGGGAAAGCAGGAGTGCCTGACTTGGTTTCCCAGTCATCCTTGGTTTGTGTTTCTGCTGCCAACAAGGCTGGTGCTGAAGGCTCTGTTTGTTAACTAAGAGTTCCAAAGTGCCCTATTAAAAGAACGAAGACATTCCTCTGCATGAGCAGTTTAGTCTTAGTCAAGATCTGTCCCTTAATTCCTGTGTGTGTGAAACGCTTTCTGCACCAGAGGGCTCTGCTTCCAGAACAAACCTGGACAGGCCACAGCACAGAGAAGCTGGCAGGGTATGGTTGTTAATACAACTTCTGATAAAAAGATTTCTACAGTTGAATTATCAAATAATATCCAAAATCAATACTGTGGCACTTTATACAGCTGTAAGAAGAGGAAAAACAAAAGAAGAATATAAATGTTTTCACCTCTTCAGCATTTCTTCTAACTTGGAACAAAGGAGCTGTTAACATCCAAAATACCAAATACTCGAGTCATCCACAACAGGCAATACTGTTTTTTTGGATGAGAATTAGAGGCATCTATAGCACTGTTCCAAAATAAAAACCAGCCAACAAGGGTGTTTCAATTCTAGTCATGGATGATAAACAGTGTGGAGGTGAAACACTGCATTTGCTGAATGATAGAGATTGCTATCAGGCTTAAACAGGAAGGCTGTGTTTTATAGGATCAAGAAAGATTAGCCCTGTGTTGAATATGGGATTATGAAGTAATTAAATAAATGAAGACACATTTCTGACACAAATTCTACACGTAAGTAATTACTCACTTTATAGACAATGTTTCTGTAATTTATCATTCAGGTCTTCGACTGGCAAGCAGAGCAGCCGATTTCATACTCAGTGAAGTCAACATACTGAGGTCACCAAAGGACTGAGCCTGGTTCACTGTGCTAACAAGTGTGTTTTACAGGGGTGAACTAACTGCTCCTATAAATATATAATGGGTAGAACTCCTGCAGGTTTGGGGGAAAACAATGTTCTGCTGCTTTTTACCAGCCAAGCCTAGGATTTCATGAGTTGAAGAATTGGTCAGGGAAGAATTGAATTGGTCGTATCTCCAGCGGGATCAAGAAAGCAGTAATTATTGCATCTATGCAAAACTGTCATGGTGCATAAAAGTCCCCAAATATTTAGCAGGTAATGGGGTTTGTGCCTGGTGGTGCTGAAATTCAGTGGTAGCTGGGGTGAAACACGAACCAAATGGAACTCTGTAAAGCTGACTGGTCATGGATTTCTGTAAGGTCACAGGGGAAATCTCTTAACCATCAGATTTAAAATGGTGAAAGATATTTAATGTCTGTGCAGAAGAGACAAATTCTCTATTGTTAAAAGCCTTACAGAAAAAGCCTATACAGAATAAACTGAACAGTACCCCGTTAATCTAAGTAAGAAGGGAGGAAGCTTGTGTTGACCCTGCCAGGTGCTAGTTATATAAACCTTATCTCCTACTGAAATGAACAGTTTTTAGGATGGCTGGTGCACAACAGAGAGAGATTTGAGAGGAATTTGTGCCCTGGGCCACCTTCAGCAAAACAGTACAGTCCATTGTAGAAGGGAGGGCAGAGCAAGGCTTTTAGGTAAGGATTTACATCCAAATCTGCAGGGCTTCGGTTTGGATTTCTTCTATTTGCTGCTTTTATTGGGTTGTATTTTGCACTCCTGCAGGCATGTAGTTTTCATTAGTTTCTATGTGCACCAAGGGGAGGATTCAATGCGGGGCACTTACGTGCATGTATTTGTTCTTTGCTGTTAAAATTAATAAAACTTCACAGCTTTTTTAAATCCCAGAGGATTTTATTGAGGTAACATCATATTTGGGAACTGCATTTAAAATCCGATTTAGGAACAGATCTGTATCCTGCATTCAGTGCTCATATGCAGCAGTAAAAAAAGAAATAAACATGACCCTTTTCTGTATAACTAAAGAAATGCCTAATGTGTCTGTCAGGAAATGTGGAATTAACCTTGTTGACAGTTTTTTGGAGAGAAAACACATTATTTACAAGACAGTTTAATGAACCATATTTGAAAAATGTCATATGGAACAGTAGTCACAGCTGTATTTAAAATGACCATCAAAAGTATATGTCCTCATTTTTGGGCATCATATGATATATCAGGGGATGAGTTCCCTGATATAGGAAACCAGTCAGCCCCTTCCTCCCACCTCCTCCACTGATAATGGAGAACTTTCTTTTTTATCTCTGGAGAAGGTCTCCTTCTTTCACCCCAATTTCCAGACTGATGTAGCTCCCCTGGTATGTTTCCTGCCCCTTTTTAACAACAGGAGCTGGTTCTCACTACACCCCTCTGATGACCTGGGCAGTGTCTGATGCCATTCCCCAGTGCAGGAGCAAAACCTTCCCAGCGTGGGATGCGCTGACCCAGGGAGGGAGCTCCTTCTCTGAAGAAACCCGGAATGACCTCTGGGCTTTGGAAATGTCACTGCTTCTGTAAATTGTAAGACCATTGATTCAAGACAGTCTTACTCTTCCCAGGGCTTATGAAAGCTGGGTTTGATGGAGGTTTTATGTTTTTAAGGTCACTTTAATGTCTCTTCAGACTGCAGTGGTAGTGAAAACTTCACTGACGATTTCTCCCAAGAGATCGTGCCCAGATATGATCACAGGCACCCTCTCCAGGTATCCTCAGACACCTTCCTCAGGTTTCACCAAATCACCGAATTGTTTGGATTGGAAGCGACCTCTGGAGATCACCCAATCCAACTCTAATGCCAGGGCAGGGTCATTTGGAGCAGGTGACACAGGAATGTGTCCAGATGAGTTTTGAATGTCTCCGTACAGGGACACTCCCTGGGCAGCCAGTTCCAGGCACCCTCCCCGTGAAGTTCTTCATCATTTTCAGGTGAAACTTGCGTTTAATTTATGGCCATTGCTCCTTGTCCTGCCTCTGGGCACCACCGAAAAGAAACCACCACCCTCTCCTCGGCAGCCGCCTTTGCGGTATTTAAACTCTTCCTGAGCCGTTCTAGTCCTACGCTCCCGCCGCCTCAGGGCTCGCTCGGCCCGGCCGGGCCCGGCCCTGCGGCGGCGCTGCCCGCGCTCCGCCCCCGCTGCAGCGCGCCCCGCGCCCGCCAGGGGGCGCCAGACCGCGGCCGCGCCCGCCCCGCGCGCCCCCGCCACACGGACACGGCGGGCTCCGG